CATTATTAAAAGTTCGAGATGTCTTGTGTTTTCTATCTTGAACGGTGATGGTTTTTCTTTTTGTTTCTTTGTTTGTTTGTTTGTTTGCCTCTTTGTTTGATGACCGAGATAGGAAATTCATAGAGAAAGTTGTGTAGTGATGTCGGTATATTTCTTTTGAAATTTCGAAGTAAAATTGTTTTAATCTAGATGTTTATTGAACATAACAGTAGAAACAGTTTTTTGAAAACCCCTCATCCTGAGATGTTCAAGAAGAAGGACTGGGCTGACAGCGTTTTGAATGTACTTCGGGTAACTTGACATGTGTGTATATGAATGGTGGTGATATTGAGAGAAATAATGGGAGGAGGAGGGGGGGGATAGAGGAAAAGGAAGCGATTAGAAGGAAAAACATGATGTGAATATGTAGTTCAACTTACAAATATTCAATTAAAAAGAAATGGATTGTAAATTTCTATCAAAAATTCTGGATAGAGAGAGACAATAAAAAATTAAAGAAAAAAAGTTGGCTTAATCCCGTTAAGCAAAAACTGGAAATAGGGCAAATAGACCTTCTTTTCTTTGTAGAGTTTCCTATGGAGAAATGTCTCTAACGGAACAACTAGGATGAAGAATTATCCGATTATTTCTCTATAATATTTCAATTTCATCTATTATATTACTTTCTTGATACTTTGAAACTACTTACTACCTTTTCAGTTACTAATTTTTGTTGCTTTTTGTACGGAACAATGTTTTTCCGTGTTACAATGCAAACGAATTTAGAGAAAACAAGAGAGGAAAATAAGAAAGGTTAAAATATCACGTGTATGATCATGACATACGTTAATTTTTCACTTCGCAACAACGAGTCGATCAATAAAGGGAGGCACACTTAAATGCGGGTAAATAACCATCGTATTTCAAAAGACAGAGCAATAAAGACAGAGTTTATATGACACAAAAGAAGTACCATCCCTTAGCACCAATAATACGCAAGTGACCTGCCAGTCTGGTATATTCTCGGTATTATTTGTAAGAAAAGAGCAGATAAAAACCACAGTCATGGCCTCCCCTAAAACTAAAAGAATTAAACATAGGTAATGACAGGATAAACCTTAAAATAACTCTCAGCCCCTCTAGCCCCAATGAAAACTGAAGATAAAAAAAACAATACAATGCAATACAGACATACTATAAACGTATGAAATGTGAATGTTAATCAGCAGCATACGCAAGATTAAGAATCGAATCTCCAAGAAAACAAGCTTTCAATGAAAACACTTCAAAAACAAATTTATATGTCACCACTAGCAACATATCGATTTGAAATCGCATTAGGACAAACATGTATATTAAAATAATAATAATATGGCACATGAGTGAATGAATTTCAACATTTATTTCATCACCATCACCCACATTATCAAACCATCTAAACATGTAAACTTCAAATTAGTTTCAACTTTGTTAGAATTCTAAAAGTGACCCAACTTAGAGTCCCCGTTTAAATCACTTTTTTCTAAAATATCATTATGAATAATCGTTTGTGCACAATAACATAACGAATACTATAATTAATGTATTCGTTTCGTTTCGTTTCATGTCATTTCATTTCATTTCGTTGCTATACGTTTCGTCTCACTTCGTTTCGTCCCATTTCAATTCAATTCAATTCAATTCAATTCATCTTACCTCATCTCATCTTGCTTCATTACAATTCCGTACAATATTTTCAAATCGACTAAAATGGAATAATTAACACCACCACGCCTTCATTTTTAATGCTTTCTTCCATGAGCATCTCTGATTACACCTGTACGCTTTTCCAGCAAAACCGTCACTTCTCTCTGTCAAATCTCTGTATGAAGCGAACCGGTCCAATCCAGGCTACCGCCCAAACCCATCTCTCCGAGCTGCTCTCACCGTTTACGTGAACTTTCTCTTCTCCTATAAATGTTAACAGAAAACAAAAAAAGAAAATAAATAAACATTGCTGAAATCAATCCCAACCTACTTGAGAAGAGAACTTACCTGTGTTTAAGTGTTAGTTAGTAGTCGTGCTAAAAGAAGACCGTACAAATGAAAGTGTAGTTTCTTTTTAGAGAAAGCAACCGTAGTGTTTGTTGGCTATGTGATTTCCGTCTCCTAAATATTTCTGTAATTTCTTTTTCTATGTACTGGTAATTTCTTTTTTTTCTGTTTTTGGACCTATCTTCTGGTGCTCATTTTGCTACGCATGATTGTTACAACACTCCGAAACAGACATACCAGTCGGCTACTGCCCAATTCTTTCCTATCGCAACTGCTAAAAAAATCATAATAGGATACAAACATACAAACATACAAACATACAAACATACAAGAACTGCTCGGCGATGCACCGCTACGACGAAATTGGGTGAAAATATCGATTTCAGCCAAAGAGAGTATAGGATGATAATATTTATGATATTAGGCTTTCGAACTATGACGAAATTGCAAAATAGCAAATAAAACTGAGATGAGAATAATGATTTAATGGTAGCTATATGGATGGCATGGGAGTATATATGGATGGCATGGGAGTATATATATATAATTTTGGTTACTCCTGGTAATCTCCAATTGAATGTTTTCTGGAGTCTGCAAACGTAGAGTTTTAGTTTCACCTCGTAAATATACAACACATTTTTATCTACACATATATATATCTATATATATATATATATTTGTTTTTGTATGTGTCTTGGAATATCTCAATTGCTCAAGTTAGAGGTCCCTAGGTTAAGATTACTTAATATATCTGTGCTGGGAACTACAAAATAGAAAGGCTATTGCACAATAGTTTTTATTTCTCTACATTTTTTTGGCCGTTAAACTACAATAACTAGACAATATTGGTTTGTAACAATACATTTAATACTTATTTTTATTTTAATTTTAATTTTGCTAGAAAGAAACATATCAATATTGTATTCATTTATTAAAATTTTATTTGCTACTACTTAACAAGAACAATAGATAATTCGTTGACAAATTTTAAGATTTTTGTTTTTATATCATTAGTAATATTGTTCGGTGTTATATATCTGAAACTACCAGTAGTTACACTTTAGATAGGCAAATGCTGTTTCCCAAGAAGAAACAGCGCCATCATAGTGTGGATCTAACGCAGAAAGCTAAAGATGATTCCCTGTTGGCAGCAAAATTAATGTTCGAAAAACATTCAGGAAATGCAACTACAAATAATAATAGTAACACTAATCACAATACCATACATGAAATTTACGATCAATCAAAACAATTAAAACAACCAAAACCGGTACGGGTAATACAAAGTCATAAAGTTTCCCCAATTCGTCCTGGTAATCTGGATGCCAACAATAAAAGAGAAAAACCGAAAATTATCGTTTCTGTGTCCCCAATTGAGAACACTAACTCTCCTATTAATAGAAAGCAAAGTTCATCTCAAGAGTCTCATCTATCGAAAAGGACGTCGATATCATCGGCTTCAATTAAACCCAATGTACAGATTAATCAACAGATTAAACAAAACCCGCCTAATGCAGCTAAACAGGCCGCCGCCAAAGCTGCTGCTGCAATTGCCCACGCAAGTTTGACAGACATGGAACGTGAATGGGATCTCCCACTACTGAAGTCCCCAGAACATTTTCACCCAAGCTCAAATGAAAGCAATTCTACTTCACCATTGTATTTATCGAAATCTCCAATTTCATTGCAGGTTAATACAAAACCTCAGAGACCAAGCTTTTCTAAAAAGAGAAACTCATCGGTAACAAGCATTCAATTGATGAATTTAAAAGGTAATATTGCACAAAGTGGTAGCCTATCAATAAACAATAAGGCACTAAAGAACAGAGCTCCCTCTCAAGAAAGTATACCGTCATTAGCAACATCCCCTAATATTAATCAACTATATTCTTCTGTATCGGTTAATTCTTTTGACAGGAATTCATCCTCCAAAGCTTTTGAACCAAAACCTATCGGTGAACCATTGTCTAAACTTGCTGTCAAACCCGAGAACCCTACTATCATCTCAAATAGCAATGAAGACATATGTTCTGATAATGACGACTATATAGACCCTACGATTGAAAAATTAGCTTCATTTGAAATGAACTATGAAAAGCCTACCCCAGTAAGCAGTAAAAATGATCTTCAGTGCATGTCGTTATCTTCTGCATTAGAATCATCTTCTTCAATCGCCTCATTCAATGACAATGATAATTATGATTATGCAGGAAGCATTGTATCAGAGATAGAGAAGAATAAAAGTGATCACCTTGAAAAATTCGACTCTGATGAAACAAGTGAGTCGCCATTAATGATGGTTGCGACCAATTCTAATAACATCCATCCTATTCCAACATCACCATTATTGGGAATGTCCAAGTCATATTCAACAACATCCTTTGTTACCCCAGCAACAACTGGAGAACCTGTTGAATTTATTACAACATATAGTGCATTAAACAAATTAAACAATAGTGTCACATATCAGGGAACTTTACCTAACCTAATTGCTAATCATGTTAGAAAATCTAAATTAGACAAATTAAGAAATAAATTTTTCAAGGGGACATCTGCTAAAAATAATTCAAATGTCAACAGCAGTCAATTAAGCATACCTGTATCAAGCATAACTGAAGATGAAGAAGGTCGAGCTGTTGTCAGAACTGCCCAAAATCTAAGATTTAAGACAACTATGCGTAAAAAGGGCCAAGGAATTGATGATGATGTAACTATTAATGATCAGTATGATGGATTCGGTAATCTAATTGATGATCTTGGATATGATTCGGATGATTCAATAGACGATACAAAAGATAAAAACAGTTCAGAGAGTTTAAATGCTGTATTTTTGAAGAAGATAAGAAAAAGAGATAAATTGAAAGAGAAGCTAAAGCATACAGCTTCTTCTGTACCACTGCATTATTCTCATAGTCATAGCCATAGCAAAATGTTCAATGAGGACAAGCCATGGAAGTCACATCAAGATTTCAGTTTTATTACTGAGAATGAAAGGAAACGATACGAGAGTATGTGGGTTAGTAATAGATACTTATACCTCGATCTACTTCCTTGGTGGTCTAATATATTCAGAAACACAGAAGGGCCAGATATGGATGGTGATGTTAGTATACCTGACTTACCAGAAGATGGTTTGATTTTGAATTTAGTAGCCAAGGATATTTGGGAAAGATCATTACTTTCCAATGACTTACTAAACAAGATATACGAGTTAGTTGATACACGGAAAGACGGTACATTAGATAGAAAATCATTTATTGTTGGCATGTGGTTAGTAGATCAATGTTTGTATGGACGTAAATTGCCTAAGTATATCGATCAAACAGTATGGGAAAGTGTTGATCGATATCTGGTTAACGTGATGCATTCAGCTACACGCAAAGCCATTGATAAGAATAAAAAGAGACAGATTAAAGAAGAAATGAAATTAATCAAGAAAGAACAGAAAAATATTCATGCATAGTATAATTCCCAACCCATTCTTCATTTTTTCCCTATTTGCATTTATGAAGGTAATTTTAATATAAATCGGTACAATAAGAAACCTTTAATACCTTTTATATATACATCCAAAATTTGTAACAATAAATAAATATAATAAATTAATTAATAAGACAATATCAACAAAAAAATCAATAAGATATGTATATACTCTAGCCGCTTCAAATGATAAAAATTTGTATTAACTAATCCAAGAAAGATGTCGTTAAGAAAAGCTACAATGATTCGAACTTTCAAAATATAGATAAAATATGAACCAAATAAGTAGGGTAACTTCAATTTAATCAATCGGTGTTAAAACTTTCAATGGAACAAATAAGAGGTAATTTTGAAACGAAAATAAATCATTACAAGATAATCAAGTCATAATGTACGCCATATATTAAATATATTTTTTTAATAAAAAATGGAATACGGTACGCGAAGTTTTTTTTACCCACGGGAATAACGTTTAAAATAGACAAAAATTTTGAATTGATAGCGGGGTGCATGTTAAAAAGTGCAGAGGCCACCGCGGAAGCTGAATTCCCGAATCTGGAAAGAAAAGATTCTCTGTGCGGTAATTTTCTTTTTTTCCCATTTTCATCAAAAAGTACCAAGTAAAAAAAAACTCGAAAACGAAAATCTGTACAGCATTTTCTCTAGATCAAAAATTAAAGCCCATGTGACTGTGCTAAAAATCAAGTGTTGCAATTGTAATGAGAGCCAAAAAAGCAAAAAAAAAAAATTGACTATCTAAAATAAACATTCATATATACATAATTTGAGACTCCCTTTTCAGTATTTCCAGCAATTGTAGTTCCAATTATATTTTTACAAGATTCAATCAAATTATGTGTCCATCCAGTTACAAGAGAAATTGTATTTCAAACTAACAAGTCTCTCTCCCCTTTCCTCCCTTCCCATCAATCATATCCTATCCCATCGTATCCCATCACCCCTCCTCCATCCCTTCCATTTCTACCACCATAACTTCTACCCCCATCTTCTTTATCCTCCCTCCCCCCTTGTCGAACAGTCCCAAGAACATCTTTATTTGTTTCTATTTTAAGTACTCTTTTTCTCTCTTGGAACGATAAGTATTGATCTAAAATTTTGTGATTTGAGAAAAAACAAACACAAACTCAAAAACCCATCTTCGGGTAACATTCGTTGTTCTTTAGAAATTCAAAACCATTTTCTTATTTCTTTTTTTGCTCCTTGTGAAATGACGAACAAACGGACAAACTCTTATTTCTTTTTCCTCCCCTTCCGCTTAGGATGATACAGGCTGACTGAGACCAATCCGGAGAAAACATGAACGGAAGCAAAAGCGAGACCGTACTTCATTGTCTTTTCGAACACAAAAACAAAAAAAAATTGAAAAATGAAAAATTAACAATATAAAAAAAAAAAAGAAAGAAGCAAATAAAATAACTACCCCTTTTCTTTTTGATCTGGGCTTTAACTACTAGTTCGATTCGAAAAGTTTCAATGGTTTCGAATACATGAGATATAAAGGTTAAACTTATTTATATATATATATCTAATTATATAAACGGTTATTGATCAATCCGTTTAATTATTGAACTCTTGTAATTTAGATAGCTCTGGTATTCATTACTTATATAGATTTTAATACTTTGATTAAATTTTTTTAGCTTTGGCCTCATTGTTAGAGACAAGATAAAATATTAATCAAAAAAAAAAAGGAAACTCATTATTTTGACTATATCTCTTTTTTTTTTGCTCTTTACCTTGGTTTTACTTTGCTATTTTGGTTTTAACCGATATTCTATAGACTAGCATATATATTAGGTGCGATATACCTTTATATTCGTTCGGTTCCCTATCTGTTAATTTTTTGCTATTAGTCTCCTAATTGTGTGTTAATATATTTTGTCGCTCTAGAACAATTCTTAACTCACTCTTATTTATAAGGACACTCAATTTTGGTAAAGCATCATTGTAATAAAAGTTTTATACTGTTTCCTGCTTCTTTATATATTACAATTGATCGATTTTAAAATATATAATTCAAACTATTGTATTCTGACATTGACTTAAAACCCATATATCAATCATGTTAAGAGTATTTGGTTCTCTAACTCGTTCAAGAAGTTCGAGTGTATTATCACAAGATGATAAAATTAAACAGATTTTAAAGCAAGCTCATGATTTCGAAATTGCTTTACAAGCAATGGATTATGTTTTAGATGACAGAGCAGAAGAAGGTTTAGCTCTATTGAAGAAAAACGAAGCTGAAGACGGTTCAGATCAAACTATTAACGTGTTGGCAAGAGGTGTAATAGAATTTTTAGAAGCCACTTTGGGTTTTGAAGCTGAGGAAATGAAAAAAGCTTCTGAAACTTTGGCAAAAGCTGAAAATTTATCCTTGAAAAGTAGACAATATGCTCAAAAGAATGATTTGAAAAGTAGTTCTCTTTATGCTCCAGGTACAGTTTATGCTGTGACCTACACTGAATCGTGTTTATTACATGCGTTACTGATGATATTCAGTGAAAGTTATGTAGAAACTGCAAAGGCTTTGTTAAAATTAAGAAAAGCTTATTACATGTTGCAAGAAATTTTTGAAGAAATGAAAAAAGTTAAGCAAACCAATGGTAACATGTCAATCTATAAGTCTGAAACTAATCATTCAGAAGCAAGTGTAGATAGTAGCAATGCATCTTTCAGTTCAGTTGATATCCCTTACGAATTGACAAGAGAAGAATCAAACAACAGTTTATATCAAGAATCTGCAGAAAAAGTCCAAAAAATGAGAGTAAGAAGATTGACAGGATCTCATATTGGTAATACCCCGGCAATAGATAGACTGAGAAGTGAACTGGGTTTAGATGGTCCTAAAGTCACTACTGAAGAAAATTCAAATGAATATTCTGCTTTATCTGAAAATATGGATTTCTCACAAGCAACAATTGATGAATTTATTCATTCAGGTGTTAACTTATGTTATGGTATCTTACAGGTCGTATTATCTTTGTTACCATCTGGTATTGGTGCTGTTCTATCTGTAGTGGGTTTCCATGGTTCTCGTGAAGATGGTTTGAGATTGGTTTGGAGAGCTACCAAACAAAGAAATATACACGGTTGTATAGGTTTATTAGGTTTGATGTTCTATTATGATGGTCCTTTCCAATTCACCGATGCAGATTTCGATATTCCTGTGCCAGAAAATGAATTAAAAAAGACAAAATCAAGTTCAACTTACGAAGAAGGTGATTTAGATGGTCCTACATTATTACATCCTGGTAAAATTTTGGAAGATGCCCTTTTGCAATCTAGAGCTCTGTTCCCACACAGTGCATTATGGCTGTTGAACGAAGCAACAATGCTATCAGGTCAAGGTCGTTTAAGAGATTCTGTCAAATTGATGGATTCTATTGAAGCTGATAAAATTGAAATGAGACAAGTTAAATCCTTGTTAATCTTCAATAGAGCATTGACTTTGGTTCATTTGCATGAATATGAGAGAGCAGCCGATGACTTCCTATCCTTATTAGATATTAGTAGTTGGTCACATTCTTTGTATCATTATTTTGCTGGTAGTTGTTACTTGGAAATATACAGAATGCATCAACTTGGTGTCAGAAAATCTGATAGACCAGAACATTTCAAGCAAAGAGCCACAGATTTGATATTTGGTGCTCCAAACTTGCTAACTAGAAAAAGTTTCAATGCTAGACCATTACCATTAGACAGGTTCATGTTAAGAAAAGTTGATCAATTTAAGGCAACACAAAAGAGATTGAAATTATCTGACCCATTAGATGCAATTGCAACTTCTCCGGTTCACGAATTACAATACTTCTACAATGGTTATAACAGAATGGGTAAACAAGATTTAGAATTGGCTAATATTATGTTAACAGAATATCACAACCCAGCAATCGACGCAAAGGAGCCAAATCAAGAAATGATTAAGGACTTCTTAGTCTCTTTGACTTACAGGAGATTGGACAGGGCCGAAGAAGGTTGTGAGTTATTGGATAGAAATGTCCTACCAAAAATATTTACAATGGTTAATGGTAAGGTTAAGTACTTCAAAAAGACCGAAGACCCATGGTTATATCCAAGTGCTTTATATGAGCGTTCCTTGTTCAGCTGGAAATTGAAGCATATGGACGGTTTAGAAGAATCCAAAGAATGGTTAACAAGAGCACAAGGTTATGCTGATGATTATGAATTAAGTACTCGTGTCGAAATGAAAATTAAGGCAGCAATTGATAGAGTCGATGAATCTTTATGATTAATTAACAACTAATATCCAAATATATTAAAATAAAGAAATCTAAAAATAATAATAATAATAATGATAATAGTAATAACAAAGACAAGAAAATAATGTTAAGTGATTTATTATTATAACATGTCTATTCAAATTTATCGTTTAATTATTTACCTTTCTTCCCAACCTTTTGCTCTTTCTTGTAACTAAAGTTGATACCACTGATACCATTTTTTGAACATTTATCTTCTGCTGCTTATCTATAAAAAGCATTTATGATATATATATTTTATACAAACTTGAACTTTAACATAAAATCATTGTTGAAGTTTAAATATTATAAAATTTAATGACTCTAAATATATTTAAATCTTGTTAATATACCATACCGTATCATGTTTAGTATTACGTCACTTCAACCTTAAAGCGTATATCATTATTTTAAAGACATCGCGTTAATTTCCAATAGTCTTCCAATATCGAATATCAAATTAATGGATATTTGCTTTATTAATAAGGTTGGAAACTGAAGAATATCATGGTTCAGCTAGTATATTAGATGATGCTGTTGATGTATGATATATGACAATACTGAATCAAATGCAAAATTATTTGATATAGGACATTTTTTAAAAAAATAATGAATTCTGATGAAGAATATTCACTGGTATATGATGATGATGACGATGACAACGATTCCTTAGATTTTTATGAAGCTCTTCCAGCAACTGAATTTGCTATTAATATATCTAAATCTAGATCACATTTAAGTCAAAGCTCGGAATTTGACATTGAGGAGGACCCATTAAGTAATGATGATATGGCAGAAAGTATGTTAGATGTACACGTTTCTGCATCTGCCAAAAGAGCTTTAACTGAGGGTAGTGTTCCTGATTTAAAATATGAATGTCTTACTACGGAGGATATATTTCATAGAATGTTGAAAAGAGTGGATCATTTGCAGCCCATATTCTCTATCCCTCATGAAGACATACTTCTTCTGATGCAATTATATGACTGGAATGAAGAACGTTTATTGGAGGATTGGACAGAAAAGATGGATATCCTTTTGGAGGAATCTGGTATCCATGTTAGCCATAATTCTAATGGTATTGAAGGAAATGATAAGAATGGTAATATTAGGGGAGTTAAATTTCAAGAGTCTTTTAATTGTATAATTTGTTGTGAAGAGAAATCTACTGAAACTTTCTCTTTAGAATGTGGCCATGAATATTGTATTGATTGTTATAGGCATTATATTAAAGACAAGCTTAACAAAGGCAATGTAATAACATGTATGGACTGTTCTTTAGCATTGAAAAATGATGATATCGATAAAATAATGGGACACCAATCAAGTAATAAATTGATGAGCTCATCAATTAAAAGTTTTATACAAAAGCATAATAATAATTATAAATGGTGTCCATATACAGATTGTAAATGCATTATTCATCTAAAAGATACATCTTCCTTTGCTGAATATTTAAGAGTACATTGTTCGCCGTTTGTTTCTTGCAAGTCATCTCATAGATTCTGTTTTAGTTGTGGATTTGAGATACATTCACCAGCAGATTGTGATATAACTACAACTTGGATAAAGAAAGCTAAAAAAGAATCAGAAAATTTAAACTGGGTTTTATCTCATACAAAAGAATGTCCAAAATGTTCTGTAAATATTGAAAAAAATGGTGGTTGCAATCATATGGCTTGTTCAAGTTGTAAATATGAATTTTGTTGGATATGTAGTGGTGATTGGAAACCCCATGGAAGCAATTTTTACCAGTGTACAATGTATAATAATGAAGATTCAAAAAGTAAGACCTCCGTTGAAGATACCTCAAAGACTTTAAAAAGATACACTTTCTATTATAGAATGTTTAATGAGCATGAAGCATCTGCTAAATTGGACTGGCAATTGGGTCAAACAGTAGAAAATAAAGTTAAACATCTTCAAGAAAAGATTGGAGTGTCTTGGATCGAAGGGCAATTCTTAACTGAGAGTTTAAGAGCATTAAATGAAGGGCGTACAGCGCTTAAATGGTCATTTGCAATAGCATTCTATTCTGATCCATCGCATAATTTAACTAAGATATTTGTTGACAATCAAATGTTATTATCTAATTCTGTTGAAGATTTATCAGAACTACTTCAAATAAAAAATCCAGAAAAAATAATGAACAAGAAAACAGATTTCTACAATAAAGCAGGGTATGTTACAAACAGAACATTGGCTCTAATACAATGTGGGAGAGATTTATTACGTAAAGGAATCTGTAAACCAACTAACTAATTTTACATATTATCGTTATATATGCATTCTTGACAATAATGTATCCACATCTCGTCAAACAATTACATAATAATTACCTGAATCTATCTTTCAAAAGTCTATCCGCCCCAGATTCTTCATATTCTTGTTTACCAACCCATAATTGATGAAACGTTCCGAGACTTGATAAAATGCTACCACCCAACCAAGCTTGATATTGTCTTTCTCTTGTTTGGCCGGTAGTAAGAACTCTAAACTTTAATGCTGGTAACTTTTTGTTTAATTCCAACATTAGACGATCGCTAAAACCAGGTATACATGAAGTACCACCAGTTAATACTATATTATGAGCTAATGAAGCACGCAAATCGACATCAGTAGCCATGATTGAAGATTCAATAAGATCAACGATTCCTGGGATGACGCTGCTTTCTGTTGGGTTTTCTGATTCCATTGGTCTTTTGCCGCTATCGTTTGTTTTATCAGAAGGAGTGGATTCCTCTCCTTCTTTAGATGGGACAGGGGTTGGCTCTTCTGTATTTTCCTTATCTGTTTTCGAACTTACAGCAGGTTTATTCCTCTTTAGAGGGACATAATCATTATGCCAAGTCTCTACTATACCATCTTTTGAAACTGGCCATCCTTCAGGCATTGATTCCTCCTTAGGTACAAACAAATGTTCTGCAAAGGAATAACGTGTTACATTATCAAATACAATATCTTCTTTCCACAGAGTTTCATATGATCTTTTGGCTAAACTTTCTAATTCAGGAGCCATTTTATCCAATGCTGCTGTTGGAGCTATTTGGCATAAAGTTTCTTTACACTCTTGAAATATTCCATGATCATTGGCATAATCATATACTGATTGATGGATTGGGAAATCAAAAGTTTTCTTAATGAATTCTGGTTTTCTTTGTTTCACTTCAAATAGAGGAATGATTTCTCTTGGTTTTAGGAATTCTTTTATCTTTTCATTTATAAAACGACCAGATATAAAATTTCTCATAGAACTCTTAGATAAAGTCATACCATCAATTACAGGACTCACACTAGCTACATCATGACCTATGTCGACCACAAGACAATTTGGTCTACCTGATGCAAACGATATACAGGTCGGAGTAGGACTTAGGTAACAGGCCTCAAATTGCAAACCTTCTAGTAAAACTTCTAAAGACTTTTTTCTATTTTCAACTGTATTCCAAATAGGCTCTGTTAAAAATGCCGGTATACCAGAATTCGATTCTAAGTATAATGCATTTTTTAAAGCCCAATCCCATTGTTCTTGAGCACCATCCCAATCAATAACTTCACCGTTCTTAACAATTGGTTTAATTTCATAGTCAGCTCTTGGATAATTTATTGATTGTTCTCCAAATATTTTTTTAGACTTGTTATTTGAAGCACTGTTCTCTTCAATTTCTTCGTTTCCTTCACTTGCAACTTCCTTTAAACTAATCTCACCATAATAAGAAGGTAAGATAGCTTGAGGGCAATCAGTACCTGAATAACCTATATTTGTTGTAAATGAACCTGGATCTATCACCACAGCAGAAATTTCATCACCACCATATACCTGCAGAGAAGAATTGGACATATTTAACTAAAGCACCAAATAATGAACTGATTTAAAAAATTATCGTACTTCAAAGGCCAAATCAAATTGATAAAATAGTCAAATAGTATAACATACAACAATTGATACCAATAATATCCCCCCAAGTACTCTTAACCGTCTCTATATACACTTTTTATAAGTTATTTTTATCAAGTTTAAAGTGTTTATTTTATTCAAGTTGATATTTTTAACTATAATTTTCAGTATATATAAATTCACATCAGAAGCCTTTGGATAAGAAGCGATGGTTTAGTTGTTATTTTAACTATGGAAGAAGACAAGCATTAAGATATGGGGATGATAGGCCAATAGAGATATCATCGACAAAGACAATTGGATTATGTTGATGATTAGTTGATGGGATGAGACTCAGTTTTCTTGTTTGATGGGAAAGAGTAAGAAAAATTAAAGATATCCTAGTATTTCCGAGTGAGTTGAAAAGAATGTTAAAAACTTATATATATATGTATATACTAATATTTATTTAATTAAATTCAGAAGCTGATAATTCAGTTATATGTGTATGCGATTACAAGGCTCTTACTTCTGAATCCAATACATCGATTAACGCTTCAACTTCTAGTTTTCTTTTAGCGTCATCGATCCAACCTTGACAGACAACATGAGGCCAACCTTTTAAAGATACAACGTCTGCTAAGGCTTTATCCAGTTTAGATAGTCTTATATTTTCACTGACTTTTGCGTATACACTGTCTAAATCGGTTCCATCTACTGATACACCTCTTTTGGTGAATAATAATAATGAAAACATCTTAGCAGTGAAATGGCCTAAAATACCTGGATTTGCTGGTAATAAAGAAGCGGCCTTGAAGTCTCCTTCTAATAAATTCCATCTGTTATATAATTGTTCATTGGATAATATTAATTTACCAGAAGCAGCGTTGTCTAATTCTGAGATACCAACAGACATTAACGTCTTTTTTCTTCCACAACTTTTACTACATTTACAGTTTGATTTACATTTTGAGGAACATTTACAGGATGAAGTGGCTAATGGTACGATACTTGATAATAATTTAATCCTATCGATTTCCTTCTCTAATGATAGACCCTCGTTTGTAGTGCCAGCTTCATTTAATTTTTGTTTCATACTTGATAATAATGTAATCATTTGAGTAATTACTTCATTTTTCATCAAAGCATTATTCATCTTATCGACGGACTTGGATAGAGAAGTAACGCTTGCGTCTAACTCTTGCAATTGACCTAATCTTCCATCTCTTTCCTTATCGACTTTTTCCTTAATAATCTTGGTAAATTCTTCAACTTGTGTAATTGACAATAACGCAACTTCGTTAGCATGTTTGGCTAATAGGGTTTGTTCATTGGCTCTTAATTCAGTATTCAATTCGTTAGCCTTCTTTTGCTCCAATTGATCTTTGAAGTTATTAAAATCTTGAATAAACTTTCCCGTTAACTCAGATTCTTTATCAGTGAATTTTTTTTCATATTCAGAATTCAATTCATTGACTGCTTTTGTAGTTTTTTCTTTAATGATTAGATTCATGTTATTTTGTAATTGCTGATTATACTCAGTAACTGCTGCTGTCAATGTACTGTAACATTCCAAAATATAACCAATTTGAGAATCTGTTAAATAAATATTTTGATTAATAATTGTTTCTATAGTAGAATTCAAATCTTTTACTAAAGAGGAAAATTTTGGATCCATTCTTTCATCATCGACAGTTATCAATTCTAAAGTCAAAAGCCTTGTTGGTGGAACGACTTCTTGAATAATTTCAATTTCACCACCTTCAGGATGGAATTTAGTTGGATTACGATAAACGACCTCTTGTATCATTTCCCTCAATCCAACAACAGAAATCCCTTCACCCAATTTTGAATCTGGACCATAACGGTACACTTCATAATTATGAACTAAATCATCACCTAATGGAACATAAGTTCTAAAATATTCTGCAAACTTCTCATTATACTCAGATAAAGCAACACCACCAGCATAAAATACAGTAGCACCTAGAGCAGTTTTCAAAATAAAATTACGAATTGGATGTCTTTTTTTAATCAAGGTGGCACCATTATTATTTGCAGTTGATAGACACCTTTTTGCCAAATTCTGGTTTAAACTAGATCTTAACATAGTATAATTTGTACAAAGGAGATAGATATATTGAATCTCTGTTTGTTTGCTTGCCTTTCCACCAAAGTAAAAAAAAATTCAAATAAATGAAAAGAAAGGAACTTAGAATGAAATTGGAAACTAACACACAATTAACCAATATAAATCTACAAGAAACTGAAATATCTGGTCCAATTGTATATCTAGTGATCTAATTATACCTTCAATTGTCTTGTTATTTCATACTGAAATATTTTTAAAAGTGGTAAAACTTTTAAAGGTTAGGCTCGGGGGCCTAGAAATATCGATATATTTAAGCTCATACTGAATTTTAATTGGTCAAACCAAGTGATTTAACAGTGATGAGATTAGATTAATGATGGTTAATGATGAGTATAAGTTGATTAAGTTGTGTTATTATGATTATGATGTTGATGTAGATGTAGATTGTTATTCAGGTTTAAGTTTGGTTTGTTTTGCTGGTGTTCTTGCAGTATTTAATAATAGTAAAAGGTTTTTTTTCATATGAATTGTCATTTACATCTATATATATGATATATACAATTTTACCAACATATTGATTTAAAACTATGACATTGCAAAAACAACAGAAAGTGAATGGAAATATGTGTCGTACCTATTCCATGATTCCAGTTAATCTAAGTGTTATAGTTTTTAAGGACAAAAATAAAAATTGGTATGCTATTATCCTACGATGGGAAAAAAACATAAAAGGTAGGAAAAGGGTTAAAATTCATTCATTAACAGTAATCAAATGTTATATTTCTTGTCTATTTTAGAGATTTGACGATTGATTCAGCAGCTTTTTCGACACCTTCTTTTGTACCTCTAACGTAAATAATGTCATTTACTTTATCGGATCTCTTTGGAACATTGATTATTGTACCAGTGTTTTCTCTAATCTTTTTGACGTTAGAACCACCTGGGCCAACAATCTTGTTGAATTTTCTTGCATCAGAGCTCCAGATATAAGCTACAAAATTGGCTTTTTCAGCTAAGGCAATTCTATCTTCGATTAATTTGGTAGCCTTCTTGATAGCTTCTTCTTTCAAAGCCTTGACATCTTTTTCTTCTTTCTTTTCTTCTTTGTTCTCTTCATCATCGAATAATCCAGTAGAGTCAATTGGTTCATAGCTCAACCTCCAAGGAATAGTACCTTCTTCAGAAGCATGTGGCAAGGAAGCTTCTTCAATAGTGATCTTAATCTTTTCATCAGATCCTGCACCAGAAGCCTTTTCGACTGGAATAACCAACTCAGTACGTGAAAGTTTGTTGGCTCTTCTATTGCTGTTACCATGTCTAATACCAACGTATTGGTCAAATCTCAACTTTTGGATGAAGGCACCACGTTCAGAAACAAATTCATGAACAGAAGCTGGAACTTGTAGTTCAACATCGAAGTTGTCTCTGATAATTTCATTCATAATCTTCTTTTCAGCCTTATCTATATTTTCTGACAGACCACTGATCTTAACCTTACCAACTTCACCCTTGTTTGGAACATCCAAACTAATGTTAAATTCAGATTCCAATTGATGACGGATAATACCACCTGGACCAATTAAAGCACCTTGTCTCTCAGTTGGGATGTCTAACTCTTTAGTTACTCTGTTATCAATGTCTGAAACGGTTTGTTGAATTTGTTTGACAACTGTTTGGACAAACTTCTTTGGACCTTGAACAGTGATTTTGGTTTCTTCAGAGTCATTGTTTGGAAGTTGTACTGATTTGTTTCTGATTTCATCACCTCCTGCCTTGGAAATAATTTCCCTCAAGTTTTGACCACCAGCACCAACAATAAATTTATGGTACTTACGGTCAACGTCCAAAGTTTCAGTAATAAAATCAGAAGCTTCAGAGACAATTGATTCCACTCTGGCAGTAGCATCCTTAATGCCAGCTCTAGTACCAGTTATTTCTAATTCTACAAATCCATTTTTAGCAGCTTCTTCATCATTGGCATTTTGTAGGAAATCTAATTCAACACCAAAATCAGCTCTAATATCATTGATGGTTTCACCACTCTTACCAATAACTCTAGCAACATGATCAGTTGGGACCTTGATAATAGTCTTATGACCATTTTCAATTTCAAAGTCAAGCAAGGCTTTCATTTCATCGACAGCTTTGTTGACACCACGAGAAGGACCTCTGACAGTAACAATATCGCCAGATTTTGGGAAAATGATACGAACGTTGTACTTATCTTGTAGACGGTTACGGTATAAACCTTGGCTACCAATCATATTACGGTGAAACTTAGCAGGGATGATCATTTCCTTTGTAACGATGTCTGCCCATTTCTTGGCTTCGGCCATAATGTAGTGTTTGGCATGATCTAAGTTGTAGCTCAAACCAGTTAAAGTAATTTCAACAGTTGTATCCTTTGAAGAATTTTCAGAAACATTTGGAACATTAACAGAACAATCGAATTTCTCACGAATTTGTTGCAAATTGGAACCTTTGTTACCAACTAGTCTGGAAACAGTGTTGCTAGGAATTTCAAAGGCCAATTTAGATTTATCAGAAGGAGATTCAGTAATAGAAGCCAAAGCTTTCTTTACAATTTTAACGGCCTTTTCGTTACCTCTGACCAATAATTGGTCCTTGTTTGGCTTGTGCAATTTAATTTGGACGTTACCATCTTCTTGAGCGACATCTTCCAATAACAATTCCAAAGTTGGCTTACCCTTAGCTAACAAGGCATCTTGAGAATCAGATTCGAAATCAACAGTAACTGATTCCAAGCTGTTTTGTTTTTGACGTAACGGATCTAAAGAAGAGTTTACCTTTTTTAAAGTCTCTAGGACTTCTTCTGTAGAAGGCTTGAAATCATCATTTGAAGATAAAGCAAACAAAACCAAAGAGTCATTACCGCTAAAGTAATCACCCATTTGGATGAAACCAGCATTTTCTGCTTCACCTAATAAAATATGTTTAATGTCTTTGTGGAATAAATCATAATCCAAATCGTCAACAGTTAAGGTATCTAATGGGGTGATATTGTTAACTAAGTTAATAATTTCCTTACGGACGGATTTTATATCACTAACCTGACTAGATCTAGCAGTGATTGTGAAAGTGACATCATTAGCGGCGTTCATAATGGCTGGTGCTGGTAAATGAATTTGAATTTCTGGGTATTCTTGATTAATTGATTTAAAAGAATCATACTTCTTAAAGAATAAAGATAATTGTCTTGCATGATCCAAATTCTTACCATGAGACTTAGAAATATCCAAAGAATCGACAGCAAAATCTTTAGATGAGCTTCTGGCGTAAGCAATAGCTTCAGAAACCTTATCTTGTTGACCAATGAAGGTAACGAATTCACTAGATGAATCAGTTGGGAAAACAACAGTCACATTAAATTTATCGTTAATTTCGTTAGCGTTAATTAATAGTTGGAACTTAGCTGGGATTTTTACAGATTCTTCAACCAAATTGTTAGATAATTTGGACAAATAGCTTTCAATATCCTTTCTAGCGGAACCGACTAATTCACGTAAACCAGAGATAATAATATCACCTGATCTTTCAAAATATTGAATCTTAATTGAATCGTCATTTCTGTTAATAAACTCTGATAAATCGACGTAACCTAAAATTTTTTCGTTATCAACATTAAATTTAACAACAGAATTTTTAGTTTCTTCCTTAACGATATCTAGAATTCTGTTCTTAGCCAAATTAACTGAGGCGACGTCACCATGTAAAGTAACTTCAGCGTAATTGTCGTCTAATTCTTTGTCATAAGAACCTTCTTTGATATCCTTGGCCACATCAATCTTAACTTCGAATTCGTTAGAAATTTCACGAATAGTCTTACCACCGGAACCAATGATAGCAGCTCTACAACGAGAAGGAATTTCGAAGACCTGGGTTATTGGTTTAGTCATTTTCTTAACCAATTCTCTTCTGGCAGCTTGAACATCTTCTCTTTTACCAGAAACCAAGAAAGTTCTTGAGCTTTTTGATAAAGTAGATTCCAAAGAGACTTTATGATTTTGCTTAACAGATTGAATGATCTTTGCGAATTCAGGTCTTGTCATAGACAATTGGGTTTGTAAATCCAAAGTGAAAGCTTCTTGGATGACATTTGAACGCATTGGCTTTGAATTTGACAAAGATGGGGATGGGGATGGAGAAACAGAGTTTGCAGTTGGTTGAACCGAAGGTTTGACATTTGGACCCCAGTTAACTTTAGTATTAGTGAAAGCATAACTGGAACCCAATTGTGGCAAATCTTTTAAGGATGGCAACTTAGCAGGAGTCACAGTGGATGAAACAGTTGAAGTTGAAGTTTCGTCAACAGAATCATCTACAGTGGTGCCAGTTAAAGTAGCAGTTTCTTCGATAGAAGAAGAAGTAGAAGAAGCAGCAGCGGCAGCTGGAGAATCTTCCTTATTTTCAAAACTCAATGACATTTAAGAAATCGAAAGATGAATATACCAGGGACAATGTATAAATCAAAACCAGATAAAACAAAGGTTGATTCAACTAAAATGAAATATAATGAATCAAATCAAAAAGGGACAATAACAACAAAAAAAAAATAGAATAAAGAATCAAAAGTTACCTTTTTTTATATATCTAAATCTTCTTCTTCTTTCTTCTAAATTATCTATTTGAGGGGGGAATTGGACAATCTTAAGTGTACGAATACCTTTTCTTTAAACCAATACAAAAGATAGGATTGAATAAACTAAACAACTATATCTTTTCAGAAAAGTTATATCTCTATTGAGCCTAAAATAATCAAATAAAATATGCTTCCACAAGCAGTAGATCTAATGACGTTGAACGCAGCAGAATTGGGGAACCCCTGTGAAAAAGAACAGACCACAAGTAAACAAGGAAATGTTCGTTACAGTTATAAACTCAATAAATAACCTAAAAAACCTGTTAATAATACGATTTATACCTTCTTAACATTAGGATGATTGATCTATTTTAAATATTTTTTCACTATAAAGTATATTTGCATCTTCGCTGAAACAAATTTTGGATATCTGAAAAATTTTAGCGAACGAAGTATCGTATACAACGAATAACATATGGATAGGATAGTATGGATATTGCCTATATAAGAACAGTTAAGAAAGGGAAGTATTGTAAAATTGGTCTTGTTGAAGGTCAATTAGTGATTGGAGGGTGGGGATTGAAGAAATGGTTAACATATCTATGTGTGTAGTGAAGGACTGTTTATTGGTTGTTTTCTTGTTTTTGAATCAATTCAATCCGATGGGTAATGGTTGAAAAATTTGTTAGTAACTTAACTTCACCTAACTTAACTTAGCCTTAACTGAATTTATTTAATTGCTAGTGTCTGTATATAATTTAAATAGGTTTTAAGGAAAAATGGTTGTGAGAGACTTTGTCATCAGTATTGTTCTGAATTGGTTTACTCTGTGACTGTTATTCGGATATACATATATTTAAACGTTGCGGAGTGATATGAGGTTGGATTACTGACACTTCTTTCACAGTTGGGTCACTGATGAGGCAAACCACCCCACCCCTTCCCCATCGTATACTAGATATTTACTCAACAGACAGTGACATTGAGTTAGCAAGGGGATTAAGGATTAATAGTATGAGGTAATCTGATTAAAATGGTAAAATTAAAATATCAATATAGAAATAAAGAAGTAAAGAAGTAATATAATAAAATTCAAAATATAAAAGTGTTTCTTGTTTTACAATTATGGATTTATGTCGTACGGTTCCCAGTATCCACCATTGGATCACTTGTTGGGCTATATAGTACTTGATAAAATACCGTGGTTCAATGCTAATAGTAGTACCTATTAACATTGTTGTTGTTGTTGTTGTTGTTGTTGTTGTTGTTGTTGTTGTAGTAGTAGTAGCATCGTAGTGTACTGCTGTTCCTCTAAGTTTTGCTTTGAATTTCTAAATGAAAGAAATAAAACAAAGTCCAAAAATAGACGGCACCAGTAGCGGTTGTTCCTGTTGTAAGCCTGTTAATTCGTTAATTATAAAAAAATATATCATCCCAAGTTTATTAAATTAATAACAAAAGTTCGATAGAAAGGTTTCAAAAAAAAAAATCTTAACCTTCTCAAATAAGGTTCATCGTTTCATTGAAGTTCGTGTTATTTAAGCCAATGGTTCGACTTCGGAAGCGAATTCACCTTGGTAGTTACCTGGTGGGTTGTAAGAACAGATAATATAATCACCATAGTAGTCACCACAGTACTTAATACCACAACCAACTTGGGTAGTGTCCTTCCAGATCAATTGAGTGAAATGACCGGTAGCAACAGAGAAACCTGGGTTAGAGTAATCGTAGTTAGCAATTTCATCATACCAAGC